AAACTGTTTGCGAACTTTCTTGCAACCTTTTACAAACCTTTGCAACCTTTTACGAACCCTGGCGATCTCGAGACCCCGAATTCGCTACGTTCGCAAGCATTCGCCGCTCAGTGAGATAAGGCCCTCTCTTACTGAGCGGCGAATGCTTGCGAACGTAGCGAATTTGGGGTCTCGCGATCGCCAGGGTTCGTAAAAGGTTGCAAAAGGTTGCAAGAAAGTTTGCAACCAGTTTTCACTGTCGCATACTGTCAATTTCTTCGCGAATTTATTTTTCCGCAAACAGTTGCAGGCGTTTGCAAAACAGTCGTAAGCCTTTGCAAACGGTTGTACGGTGTCGCTCTTTGTTATCGCCAGTTCTCTTTGTTCCGCCAATGCTAGCGACCACGTTACCATATGGTTCCTTTACAAAAATCGACCCATTGAGTACAAGGAGTTAGCAAAAGGACGGCAAAAGGTCTCAAACAATCGCAAATACTGGCAAAGGATTGGCAAATAGTTGCTAATCTTCGCAAAAACTGTCGTTAACATTTGCTTACAGTCGTAATAGTCGCCAACTGCCTTTCGCAAACACTTTCAGAAACATTTGCTCAAATATTGCTAATTGTCGCTAAACGTCACTTATGCCTAGGTCACATTTGCTCTACGACTAGAATACGGCGGCCTTACGCCCTAAAAATCGAGAGACATTTCCGGCGGCCGCAGAAAATCTGTGGTGGCCTCAGGGTCACCCTGGGGCGTAACCCTGTCTGTACAGGCCGAACGGGTCGCCGTGGGATTATACGCGGATTTATTTTTAGGATCGCCATAACGATTAGACACACCGTAGCCATGCAGTAGAGCGGTTCCACGGCGACCATAGGACGGGCGTACGGTAGCCTAGCGTCTGCAATGCGGCTGCCCTATAGGGTCTTATGAATTACAAATGACTTTTGCATAAACGAAAAAAATTGCGGCGGCCGCAGGAATCCATAGGAGCCCTGGGGAAGCCTTAATGCGGCCCTGCGGGCGTCTTGGTCAGGCGAGTACACAGGGGGGGCGGGGTTTGGGGGTTGAACCCCCCCCCCCCCCATTGGTATTTTTTTTTTTGTAATTATTATTATTTTTTTTAAAAGGTCAAATTTTCAAATTTTGAGACCCCCCCCCCCCTCCCCCCCCCCCCCCAAAAAAAAGTGTCCTCTTACCCTCTTACAGATATTACTTATAATATACATATGAAGAACAAAAAACTGATATATACTAGCTCCACGCACGTCGCAGATTGCCATGGGCGTGCAGTGAGCGTATCCGGGCCGTGCATGCAGGGCCTTGCGTTGCCCGCAGGGTGTGCCACATGCTGAAAGGCCACCGTCATATAGGGCACCATATGGCCACCTCAAGGCTGCCCTAGGGCTCATGTGGAATTCCTGCGGCCGCCGCAATTTTATTGGGGTCCGCAAAAGTCAATTGTAATTCATAAGACCCTAGGGCAGCCGCACGGCAAACGCAATGCCACTGTACGCCCGACGAATGGTCGTCGTGCAACCACTCTACGGCATGGCTACTGTGTGTCTAAATGCTACGGCGAACATAGAAATGAAATAAAGTTAAAACTCCGTGCCGCAATCCCACGGCGACCCCATCTTCTGCGGCCGCCGTATCCCAGCCGTAGAGCGAACGTGACTGAGGCATAAGCTCATTTGTTTAATTTATTTTATTTTGTGCAAAAAATTAAGTTCCTGTAGCGGTATAACCTCCAATCTAATTATATTCACCGTATATTGTTAAGGCCAGGATTATTCCTAATAGAAAAGTCGAATTATTAATAAAACACTCAATCTCAATTTTAGGCAGAAATATAAGGCTTACACTTTAAATGCAAATAATGAATGCCGAAGGGTCTGTTTATATACATCTCAATATTTTATTTGACTATGAATTTAACAATCCGTTTCTCCGAATATCTGTACATGCGTATCTAAATCGTAAGAATCTTCCAATAGACAATAGACAATAGACAATAGAAATAGTTCTACAGAACAGGGCCCCGTCTTACGAAGAGTTACGATCGATCCAAATCAATCGTAAGTCCTCCAATCAATCGCAATTTCTTATGTACATAGTTCACGATTGATATCAATCGCAAATAAGTTGCGATTGATATCAACTCTTTGTAAGACGGGGCCCTGGATGATAGAAAGATTTAATCTATTTCTTGTAGGTAGGCCTGCTGAATGTTGGTCAACAATCGCATTATTACCTGTTTTCCTATATCTATACTGCTACCTGAAGTTTTATTCACATCTTAAATCGAAATTTCATTTCATCTCATTTTTTATTTCATTTATTTACATAATAACAGCAAATAAAGTTTACTGAGCCTTTTATTTTACAAAGTCGTTCCAATTGAAATATTAACAAACGAGAAATATACATATTATGGTACATGCAATGCAGAATAAGTATGCAATTGAGACTATATAAAAAGACAATTTCACATGTGCCCCTTTTACTTATGAACTTAGGCGTTGTGGCGTGCGCCTGTAATCCAGCTAACAGTGGAAGTTACAAACTGATTCAGTCGAGGACGCAGGTTCGAAACTGAGTCACGTCTTTCGGATGGTGACGTTTAAAGGTCGGTCCCCAGACGTAGATAATCATGTCTAATTTATACACGTCTGTAAAAAAAAAAAAAATACACACACACACACATTGTATTGTGGAGGCCCCAGAGGTGGCGCTCCCGGGGAGAGGGCAGGGGGCACAGCTACCCACTTTTTGAAGTACCCCAAAAGTGCCCCTTTTACTTTGACAAGTACCCCTATTAATTTGTAAAAGTGCTCCTTCCCTTTTCACCTCTTATATGTGCCCCTTTTCCTTCGACAAGTTCCCACGTTCCTTTGCAATGAGGGCCATTTTACATTCTCATAAGTGCCTATTTTAAAGTAGATATTCATTGATTTTAAAAACTAACTTTATTTCATTATTGCAAAGTTGAAAATTTGATTCGACAAGGTTATCAAAATTCAATGCTTGGAAACATTCGAAGTAATTAATATTATAAATTGTAAAACGCTTAAATACAGCCCCGGCATAGCACCTGAAGAGCTCTCCGAACGCTCCTGAGATGTGTGAGATCACAGTATGGACACGATTTGCACAAGCAGACGATGTCCCATAACATCTCACACATTTTCAGTGCCTGTGTTTTCATCTTCTCTTGAGTTCTTTCTCTTACTTCACTACCGTCAGGCTAAATGTATAATCTATTGCCTCACTCTAAACCCCGCGCATGGTTTTATTTTGATAAAAAAATGCAGCGATACGAAAATAAAGGAATCTGTCGCTTGTAAACAAAATAAGACGCCATTGAATATTCAGCTGCACACACCGCGGTATGTTCGCCGTTTCATGAGGGAACAAATGCCGTCCTTAATATAATTCCGGGGGTTTTTCAATTTGAAAGTCTGGTTTCTTTGATTGTTAATTAACCCCTATTCTGTGTATTTACAAGCAAAAGATTTTAGTTATCAGAATCGGGTCATGTCCCTTTTGAATGGTTTGACATGCCATTACATTTATATACACTGAACTCATTATAATTTGACAAATAATAGCTTCGCAATTATGTTCATTCTTTATGGGATGTCGTCTGCTTGGGCAGTAGTGGTCCATATAGTGACGTCATTAAAACATCGTTATTTTTCCGGCGAATCTCTCGTATATCCCAGTTGCTATGGAGGTGGTTGTATTTGTATTTTTATAAATCACCCGATATGTAGTTGACCTAAAACTTGTACGATTGCCATCTGTAAGCTTACCAGTTTATAGTGATACATTAGTTGACATATTTGTGATTTTCTTTGAATTTCACCTTTAAATATCTTGTAAGTGCCCCTTTTCACTTTTAATAAGTGCCCCCTACACCTCTGATAATTGCCCTATTAAAATCTGAGAGGTGCCCCTTTTATTTTGCCAAGTGCTCCTTCCCCTTTTAAAAAATACCCCTTCAACTCGGATAAGAGCACCTTTTATTTTCACATGTGCCCCTTTTACTTATAATAAGTGCCCCAATTTAGCAAAGAGCCCCTTCCCCTTCTCATGAATACCCCTTTTTACCTTTGAAAAGTGCCCCGTTTCATTCTCATAAGTGCCCCTTTTCATCTCTGATGAGTGCCCCTTTACAGATATGAGAAAGTACTCCTTTTCACTTCAGATAAGTGCCCCCTTCACCTCCGACGGATAATTGCCCCTTTTCAAATCTCAGAGATGCTCGTTTTACTTTGAATAGTGTTCCGTCCCTCCTGATAAGTGCTCTTTACATCTCTGATGAGCGCCCCCTTTCACCTCTAATAACTGCCCTTTTTGACACATGCACGTTTTCCATTTTTATAAGTCATTATAAGTGCCTTTTTCATCCCTGGTGAGTGCCTCTTCTCAGGTGTAAAAAGTACCCCATTTCACCTCTGATGATTACCCTCTGTACTTTGACACGTGTTCCTTTCCTTTTCTAATAAGTGTCCTGTTCCTTTCTATAAATGCCCCATTTTCCCTCTCATTATTTAACGTGCTCCTTATTTAAAACGTCTAAGAGCAATTTCTTTAAAGCTCTCTCGCTACGCTCGCTCGCATTTAATTTAATTATGTCACTTATCAAAGGTCTCTTCAGTCTTCCGTGATGAGAATGTGCTTATACCCCCATCATGATTGGGTATTTTCCTCCTTATAAGATGTAATTTTTTTTCGCACTGCGACCTCACAAATCTTCAAAATTGTCCTCGCTCGCTCACAATTTAACATTCAGACCATCGCACCAAACTGCAAAGAATGATGCTCAAGCAATATATTGTATGATGTATAAAGAGAAACAAAAAATTAAAAATCATCCCTAATAATGTAAACACAATGTAGGGGTATATATATATATATACCAATGTCTAAAAAATTGTATATTTTCGCCTTGAGACTTTCCTTTGTAGGTGCCCTTTTTGTTGATGCCCCCCCCCCCTCACTTTGGAAGTCACTCCGCCGCAACTGGGAGACCCTACCTAAGGACACTGGAGTCATGGCATAACCCCAGCTAGATGTAGCTATGCTACCATGATGAGTTGCTCAAACATTCAAGGATTTTTTTTCCTTCATAGTACCCATTTACCTGGGTGGAGATTGGCAAAATATGTAGATTAATGTTTTGCCAAAGGACAATAGCACTGTAAACAGTAGCAGGTTTTCGAAACCCGCACCATGTACTCCATACTTATTGACTAGACCATCCCTATTTTCTGAGAACTCGCGTACTTGAACCAAAAGACACAACCATACACTTTGTTGCCATATCACTGTTTCTGTAGATTTTTAATGGTAGTAGGGCTCACGGTGAAAATGTCCGCAGATGTACTAGGAATGTCGGGATGAGACATGGATCTTTTCTTAGTCGGTCTCTTAAGTGACGGCGCGAAAACTCTGCTGATATTGTCAGAAGTGACTGAATGGGACCTTGGCCTCATCAAATTGTTTATCATACTTCCCTCGGTATCGTCATAGGGAAAATGGAGGATATTTGAACCCTTCTTGCTTGCTTCTCCCGCCTTTTTCTTGTAGCGATTTTGCCGATCTTTGAGGACAAATTGCAGGCTAGAGCTCGTGGAGGACGCTATAGATATAGCCTCAGGATCACGATGCAGGAGATCTGCTTCTTTCTGGATGCTGGCCGCACGCATCTCGCCAATGTATATCCGTTCCTTGTCGTAGTAGACAGAAGCTGAACGGCTTACCATGGCGTCGGGGAGGGCGCTCTGTCGGACGAAGAAGGAACGCTGTTCCCTTGAGCGCTCCTCGACTCGTATGGTGTGCTCTGGTGATGACGGGCGATTCCACAACTTGCCGAGGTCAGCCCGGAATTTGGAGCTTGATGTAAGAAAGATGATGGGGTTGATCATGCAGGAGCTCTTGGCGAACATGGTCGGGAGCACCGAAGCGGACGCACTTATTTTACCGATTTTAGACGCCCATATACTCCCAACAGCGTACGGTGTCCATACCACGATGAAACTCGCCATCATCATGAAGCATATCTGAATGAAGAGATCATTGAAATAAATCCACATGAGCAGGAAAATTCAAGAAATATTATATGAGTAACATCCATTTCATATTTTGGCATCTATTTATAATCTGAAAATTTTATCTTGTATATTTGTATTGATAAAATCGTAGTAAATGGCTATATACATTATGCACCAACAGTGTCACTCCAATTATCAAAGCTTGATTTCCTGTCCTTTGTCCCTTACCTTTGTCACACGTGTATCAATTTTTGTCTCGTGTTTACGTAGTCTTCCAAACACAACAGCGATATCTCTCTCCTCAGTCCGCAGTGGGTCTATGCCTTTGATTCTGTGATCGAATAGGGACGTGAATTATTATGTCTTCCAACTTTATACAGACCCACATTCATTGTTCAATGGTAACTATACAAATTAAGCTTCATTCATTCATTTACAGTTAATTTTTCTGAGCTGAAAACGACTGAATCTCATCGGAAGCTGAGATTTGAATTATTGAATTTGATTTTGTTATAGGAAAGTGAGGTTTTGGGAAAGTGATGATTTCGTCCCAAGGCTGTCGCTGGTTTGAAATAATTTACCTTTGTCAATTTTGCTACAGATTTGCAGTAGAGCAGCTTAAAGGTGATGCAGGTACTACGTCCCAGTTGCAGGCCCAAAAAATAAAAAGGTTAAATTCAACGGCATTTGAAAGATAATACTTTAGAACCGCCCTCAAAACGAAAGGGCTTGCAAATATCTGTAAGTGGGAAAATAACGATCATTAGTTGTCGAATCGACTTCAGTGATTGCAATCACTAAGGTAAAAGTCTGATTTCCTGACCCTTGAATCAAATGGTAGTACGTTTTGTGCTGCGCAAAGATTTAATCAGTTTAATTTTGGCCAATTCAAGAATTGGGTTATTGATGTAGACATATATGCAGATTTACCCTTTACAGCTCATTTTATCTATGTTATTACCAAAGAAAAAAGTCAGTCAGTCACTCAAACGTGTCTGACAGTGAAGTCTAGAAAGTTAATGGGTTTCCTTGCATAATTTGAATATTAGGACACTGCTAACGTTTAAATTCCACAGATAGGACATACGTGACATGTTCATAATTCCTGCAAAGTTCTAAAACAATTGATGTTGGCTGCAAATGGGACATAGTACCTTTAACTGATGCATAACGTGTCTCGTTAACGGAGGACACCATGTGTCCTCTAAAAACGTGTCCCCTGAAATACAAGAGAGGGCTTGTTGGCTTGGCGGCAACTCCAAACTATTGTCCCTAACGGCATTAACCACACCTAGAACTTTAGTATATATCTGATGAATATATCAAGTTATGTGCCCTAACTACCTGTGAGCTTTCCTCAGACCAAATACGAAATGAAACATTAAGACACATTGAATATAAATATATTTTGTTCAGAATTCTTCATTACCTTGTGACAGGTTCGGTGAAGAAATGCCACAGGTAAAAATATTAGAGGTTAAAAAGGCAAGCAAGGGAGAGAAAAAACGCCTTAAGCGAAAATCCTACACAATCAATGTAGATATAGGTGTTTCCATTTTGCCCCCCCCCCCCCCCCCTGCACATTGCCCACTGCACATTTCCATTTCGAGCTGAGATAAAGAAAATCAGTTTTCTATTCCAATGCATTCTTCAGGTATAGAACAATAACTATTATTACCTCATTTCTGAGAGCACATTTTTTTTACCCTGTCATTTTTTCCTCTGACTTTTTTACCGCTGACATTTTTACCTCTGATTTTTTTTATTCCTCTGACCTTTTTACTTCTAACATTTTTACCTGGCGGCGGAACTGCCCTAAAGCTGTGGTCACAACCCCAAAAAGTATCCTAGTCGGCGGCCGGGCGGCGAGTTTTAGCCAATTTCGCCCGGGCACCACTTGTTTTTAGGGCATCGCTCGGTCGCCGCTGAAGTTTGGCGCGGAGTTAAAATTCGGCGGCGCCTGCTCACTTTTCACTCGTCGCCCAAAATATGCTCGGTGCCCGGGCGGTCCTCTCCCGGCCACCGACCTAATCGAGCATTCGCCGTCGAGTGATTTAGGTCAACAATTGAAACCGCCAGGTCAACGGCTGCCGAGTGGTCGCCGCCCGGTCCACGCTGGGAGATCAGTCGGTCACTGGGCGCCGAGTTCAAAATCGGTCGGCAGCCTTTGACGTAGCGGATCGATTTTTGACATAAATCGCTCGACGGTGAACGCTCGATTATGTCGATGCCCGGGCGGCGATCGTCAGAGCATCGAGCGGATTTTGGTGCCCCGCCGATCATCTGCCGGCCGCCGGGCAATTTCTTTAAAATTAGCCTCGTGGTGAGAGACCGCTCGGGAATCGGTGGGTAATCAGTCGGTCACTGCCGGGACGCCGCCCAGAGAAACTCCCCGATTTCGCCCAGTTATGACCTGAAATCGACCGGCGACCGACGGGAAATTGACAGAGCACCGCCCAGGCATCGCTGGGGCTCTACAGCCTGATCGACTTCTCCAAAAATCGTTTGGCGATGCCTAAATTCCAGCGGCGACCGAGCAGGCTACACACCGGTCGGTCGCCGCTCTGAGTTGTGACCATAGCTTTAGACGAGGCCGTTGAAAGTGAACACATACAGTACATGGATACAGTGCCTGTAGAGCCATCCCCATGGACCAAAGGTTTAGAGGATGAAGTAATTTACTGTCATGAACCTTGAACCCCTTGTCCATAATATTATATACACACTTTTATCAGAACTCACTTTTTAGCCACTCCAATGTAGCAGTAAAGCATGATGATAATTGGAATGATGAAAACGAAGACAACGCAGCATATTATGTACGTTAAATCACCAAGGCTTTTCCCATACCAGTTGATCGAGCACGACGTGCCAAATGGTTCGTAGGTGTAGCTGCTCCATCCAAAGAACGGTGTGATAGTCCAGAAAAGGGTGAAGGTCCAGATACACAAGATGGCTAAGCAACTCGTGGACGACGAAAGTCTCGGACCTGAGTTTGTGGTGTGCAAATAAAATGAGATAATCAATACATCAATTTGGATTGTGAGGCCTTCTGCGGTTTGCATCATTTTTAGTTGTTTTTTTCTTCTACATGATCCATGGCAGGATTCAGGGACGCCCCTAGAGCATTTTTTAAATGGGAGGTGTGACATCGCCTCCCCTTAGCCAATCAACATTTAGCTATAATTTTCCAGTTAGAGGTTTTATTAGTTTCTTCTTTGGTAGATAAATGATGAATTCCTCCTGTCTAAAAAAAATAAGATCAATAGCATGTTGGTTTCATTGGAACATGCTTTCGAGTGATGCCTCCCTCAACCCCATACCCCATTCCCCTTTCTCTCTCTCTCTCTCTTCTCCTCCCCCTACCACCCTGAAAATAAACTGATGTCCCTGCAAATACTTACGATGGTATGGTTTGACGATATAGATGTATCTGTAAATCGCAACAACCGCGTGGGTACTGATCGTACTGCATGACAACGCATAGACGCAAAAGCCGGAAAACTGGCACCCGATATCCGCAAACACCCATCTACCCCGGTACCCGGAAATCGCTGTGAGCGGATAACCAGCTACCGACACACCCAGGTCGCTGACGGCCATGTTCATCAGGAGGATGTTGACAGATCGTTTCCGGAATGTGCCATACCGACAGAGAACGCAAAGGACGGTGATGTTACCGATGGTGGATACGATTCCTGTGATTGATCAAAGGTATAGGTAAAGGAACGGTCAATGTCACTATGAACATAACGGACAAATAAAGCGGACAAAATATACAGTTCCTCATTCTACCCTCAACAATTGCTGTGGTAGACAAAGGAACATCCCTTCACTGCCATTAGGTAAAAATGTGTAGAACAGGTGTCACATGCAAATTCACCTGTTCTACACATTATTACATACTAGCAGTGAAGGGATGTTCCTTTGTCTACCACAGCAATTGTTGAGGGTAGAATGAGGAACTGTATATTTTGTCCGCTTTCTTTGTCCGTCATGTTCATAGTGTGTAGAGGTGTCGTAGATTAAGTTCAATGACAATACAAAGCTCAAGGGTTGGAGCCCTGGAACGGAACTTATGTTCATGAGGAAAGCATTATCTAAATTACCCCTCTCCATCCTGGTGCTAAATGGGAACCTGGTAGGATGCAAATGTTGAATGTGATTGGACTAGTTTGTGCACTGGAAAGTTTATAAGAACCCGTTATCATTATACAGATGTATCTGTCTCGTGATCATATTTTCTCTCAGCGTTGTGCGCTTCGTGAAAATGTACCCCCTTGGGAAAATATAAACCTCTTCAGCGGTCCAACAAACTTATCACATTTATCTCAAAGACTTTTTTTAATGAACCAAAGGCTAATTTTCTACATCCTTTTGTATAAACGTGTATCATAGAAATCCTGTTCCTATTACACATTTCGGTTCATGGGCAATGCTATTGAAATTGCTTTAGTTCAATTTTTCGAAGGTCTTTGAGATCGTGTTGAAAGAAGAAAATGAAAATGATGCCTACCGACTAAGGTCAGGTAGAGGGCGGTAAGCAGATATCCGGTTTGACTGAGTGGAGTGAGGAAGAGAGTGGGCTGCGTGGTCGTAGGGTCTGTGACGTAACTTTCCTCGGAAAAAGAATTCATTGTGGTCGAATCCGCACGAAATGAGTGGTCTCGCTCTGTAAATAAAGAATAATGGGGGGAAACAACAAATTTCGTAAATCTTCAGGGTCAACTTGAAAAACGTTTGAAAATTGAAATTAAAAATTAAAGAAACTCTTTTGACATAACCAACTGGGATGTTTTGGTATTAAGCTATTTGGAGGATCAAGAAGGTATATGAGAGAAGTTGGTTTCAAAACAATGTTTTGAGACTATAACCTCTCGCATGTTAATCCATATAAATTAATGTGTATTATCATTAGGTTATATTTGGTCATATTTTTGCTATTTTCTACATCGAATAATAAAATCACTCTAAAAAATGTCTGGTGATTTTATTTGAGAAATATAAACGTTAAATTACCTGTCCAATTTGTGGATGTAGGATGCTTGATCCAAGACAGGTCTATTGTACACAGTGCAATAGACCATTTATTTATTTGTTCATTTTACTTCAGTTTTTGTACTCATTCATTTATATCTTGCTGATTTATGGTGATGGAGAATGTTGTTGCTATGTTTTAAGGTCTGTAGCTTTACTAGGAATAAACAAAACAATCTGATAAAACATAAGACTGTAGCATGTTTTTTAACCGTAATGATCGGAGAGGTTCACAGCCGACATACATTCGTGTGTGGCCTTGACAATGTATAAACAGAAAGTTGTAATGGCACTACATCAGAGAGTAGAGATATCTAGAGATCATGCAGAAAACACGCTTTAATTGCATAAAAGCAAAATGTTAGTACAATCGTCCTGAAATGATCGCCATGGGATTACAAAATGCAGGACTTTAGCCACAACATGCAGAAAACGCGGTTCACGTCGGCAGATAATTGTTTTTCCCCAGTGCGAACTCGAACTCGAAGTTTGTCATGCACAACGCCTCAAATATGCATCGTGAATCAATATTTAAGCGCAGCCTGTTGATGCGAGTAATGCAATATTCATGATTTAGGATGTCAATTTTCATGACCTTCTCCCCGTCACATCATGCAGAAAGCGCATGAAGTACGGAATATATCATGAACAAAGGTGTAGGACGAAAATCATCGTGATATCCTTCCAAATCCCAAAGGAAAATTAGATAAATTTAATAATGTATCAATCATTTCCTGTAGTATTATAGACGTCAGAAAGTATCATGCTTCTCGCCCACCTACGAAAAATGATAAATTAAGCGAAATATCCTCCGCAATAAGATAGGAAATGTAATAAGCATAACTGCTCAACAAAAAAAAGCATAAGATGACAAAAGTCATATTATAATTGCAATCAAAAAGTGTTGCTGAGGATAAAGTTTCATATATATCTTCCATGCCAAGTCGTTTAAAAAGCAAGTAAAATTGCCTGCAATTTTAAAAAAATGGTAACGTAAAACTTTTTGGGGGGGCATTAAAAGGGACTTGGTGATGGCAAGCAATTTATCAAGATCGTCAATGCAGGTCTCGTTAATATTAAGGCTCATTTTGACATGAAGCTGAAAACCCTGGCCGTTTCAAATTGTCAATGTTTTTTTTTCGCACAACAAAGGCCAAACGCTTATTCACTTAATTAGCTAAAGTGTGAAGCGTTTGAAAACAGCTGCATTTACACTGCAACCAAAAATCGTCGGTTTTCTCACATTCCCGTTTTAATTCGCCGATAGTTGCAATGCAACTTTTACCGGAAAACGCGACGAAAAACCCACCTCTGGAGTGTGTTTTTTTGTTTGTTAAAATGCCGCCGAAGTGATTTGTTGCAGTTTAAAGGTAAAGACCAGTATTGTAAACGCCCCAATTTCAAAAAATGAAGTGGAAGCTCTCTTTACCAATCATGTGAAAGAATATGTTTTGACTAATACATGATGATAACAAATTTGCCGGGAAACCGCCTACTAATTCATATATTTGGTAAATTTGTTTCTCTCATGGTCTGTGAGAGATATAGGGTAGTCCCATATACATCTTTCTGTGTATAGTGCTTGTAACTTTACGAAGAATGGGCCAAATTTCTTATCATTTTGATGATTCCAGAACCTTGCAGATGCTAGATGCTAGATGATCAACCTTTTCTGATCGATTCCACAACGTTTCTTTCACAATGCAATCGCATGACCATAACTGGTCTTTACCTTTAAAAGCAGACTTGGTTGAGAAACCGGTTTTTCGTCACGTGACACTCTTCGCTTCCGCGCTAACGCATGAAGGGCATGCGTGGCACAGACGAGTCGCGCGTGCGCACTACTCACAAAAAAGCCGGCATGATCAAACTTCCTAGGTTTTTCATGGTTTGTCCCAGTAGTGTAAATTGGTAACAAAACAAAATAGACGATTTTTTTTCTTCAAAATGGCGTTTTGTTTAAGATGGCCCTATTATAAAAAATTAAAAAACAACACCGCGGTTTTAAACTGAACGAGAAATTTCAGAAGGCCCACGAGACAAACATAATCGTTCCTCTCGTGAGATGTTTATTGTGGTTTCAAGTCATTTCCTTGAGAAAACTTCATCGCCACAGAATGCTAAATCCATTTTATAACCGAATCGATACTCCCGTAACCAATCCCTAATCTCCTTCGGATTAAAACTTATCCATAGCGCAGAAGCTTTCTAGCTGTCTCTGAGAGATTTCAATCAATTACAAATTCTATTCCATCATTATTAAAGGCTTTAAGATGATACTGAGTTCGATCGTGCAATTGCAGTGTGGAAAAAGCTCTGCTTGAAAGCATTGGGGAAGGTTGGTTTTAAAAATTGAAATAATTCGAAATTATTGACTCATTCTTGCTCAAAGCTACGTTCACTGCATGCACACAGAAATGTGTATAGTGGACTATTCATACATGTGGCATGAACGTTTGGTCCAAGCTTTTCACCCCTTATGTCCCGGGACCCTTTTTCTGTCATCTTTGTCCAAGCTGACGTAAAATGGATGGGAAGAGTCACAAATCATTTTCACCTTAATCAAGACTCAAACTTCCCTTTAAACTGGCCAGTATATTATGTAAAAGTGTCCTATAATGCAATATATCTCGGTCACTGCGCTCGATCCTTGGCATTATGATGAATACATCTTTTGAAAAGGAAATCTGAAGGTCTTTTTATTTTAGGAATTATTCTGAAAACATAAAGAACATGTCTATTGAAACATTAAAAATAAGTATTTCCTGTGTATTTAGTGCCCTAAATTATGGTGGCCCTGAAGGGACATCGCGAATAGACTAAATCGTGAAAAATATGCGATAAAATTCACGATATCGTCAATTTTATCGCATATTTTTCACGAAGAAATTCACGAAATTGACGATATCGTGAACTTTATCGTGAACTTTTCACGATGAAATTGACGATATCGTGAATTTTATCGTGAAAAGTTCACGATATAAAGTTCACGATATCGTCAATTTTATCGTGTACTCTATCGTGTACTCTATCGTGTACTCTATCGTGTACTCTCCTGACGGGTGCTTCGTAAACAAAACCAGCCCTAGCTGGGGGAGACAGAGAGAAGGAAAAAAGGGAAAGGGAAAGAGAAGATAAAAGGAAAGAAAGAATAATAAGAAGAAAAGAGGGTAACGGGGGGGGGGGCGAAGGGCTCTTGCCTCCTCCTCACTCCCCCCCCCCCCCCTCCCTGCCAAAAAATAAATCAGAGAGAGAGAGAGAAGGGAAAGGGAAAGGGAAAGAGAAGATAAAAGGAAAGAAAGAAGAGGAAGAAGAAGAAAAGAGGAAAACGGGGGAAGGGCGAAGGACTCTTGCCCCCCCCCCCTCCCCCCCCCCCCCGCCAAAAAATAAATCAGAGAGAGAGAGAGAAGGGAAAGGGAAAGGGAAAGAGAAGATAAAAGGAAAGAAAGAAGAGGAAGAAGAAGAAAAGAGGGAAACGGGGGCAAAGGGCTTTTGCCTCGTCCCCCCGCCCCCCGCCAAAAAATAAATAAAAGGGAGAGAGAGAGAAGGAAAGGGAAAGAGAAGAAAGAAAGAGAAAAACGAAAAAGAGGGAGAATAGGAAAGAAAGGAAAAGAAAGAAAAGAAAGGAGGCAAGAGCCCTTCGCCCCTGTTTCCCTCTTTTCTTATTCTTTTTCCTCTTCTTTCTTTCCTTTTATATTTTCTTTCCCTCTCCCTTCTCTTTCCCTTTATGGCGGGAGGGGGGAGGGGTGGTAAGAGCCTTTCGCCCTTCTCCCGTTTCCCTCTTTCCGTCTTCTTCTTCTTTCTTTCCTTTTATATTTTCTTTCCCTTTCCCTTTCCCTTCTCTCTATCTCTCTCTCTCTCTCTCCTATTTATTTGTTGGCGCGGGAGGGGGGAGGAGGCAAGAGCCCCTCTTTTCTTCTTATTCTTCTTCCTTTCCTTTTTTATTCTCTTTCCCTTTCCCTTCTCTCTCTTATTTATTTTTGGCGGGGGGGGGGGAGAGGCAAGAGCCCTTCGCCCTTCCCCTGTTTCCCTCTTATTCCTCTTCTTTCTTTCCCTTTCCCTTCTCTCTCTCTCTCTCTCTCTCTTATTTATTTTTTTGGCGGGGGGGGGGAGGTAAGAGCCTTTCGCCCTTCCCCCGTTTCCCTCTTTCCTTCTTCCTCTTCTTTCTTTCCTTCTTCCTCTTCTTTCTTTCCTTTTATATTTTCTTTCCCTTTCCTTTTCCCTTCTCTCTCTCCTTATTTATTTTTTGGCGGGGGGGGGGGGGGGGGAGTGAGGAGGAGGCAAGAGCCCTTCGCCCCCCCCCCCGTTTCCCTCTTTTCTTCTTATTATTCTTTCTTTCCTTTTATCTTCTCTTTCCCTTTCCCTTTTTTCCTTCTCTCTGTCTCCCCCAGCTAGGGCTGGTTTTGTTTACGAAGCGCCCGTCAGGAGAGTACACGATAGAGTACACGATAGAGTACACGATAAAATTGACGATATCGTGAACTTTATATCGTGAACTTTTCACGATAAAATTCACGATATCGTCAATTTCATCGTGAAAAGTTCACGATAAAGTTCACGATATCGTCAATTTCGTGAATTTCTTCGTGAAAAATATGCGATAAAATTGACGATATCGTGAATTTTATCGCATAT